CTCCAACCCCTGCCCCATGCACAGATCTGGGGGGGGGTGCAGGTCCCCCCGCCTCCCAGGGGGTGAGCACAACACCAAGGAGCTAGCCCCACCCTCCAGACTAGCCATCCACGGCCCTGTTCCACTCCCTGCTGGGGCTCTGCAGCCATGCACTGTGTCCCTGGGCCCCAAGCCCCACACATTGCCCATCTGGGCAGTAGCCCCATCCCCAGTCCCAGCCCTGTCCAACTCCCCCCCCAATGGGGGCTCAATTCCCACCCCTTCCCACCTACTTACCTACAGAAGCTGCTCTTCAGGCTGCCTGACCACCCTCCTCCCGCTCCCTCCCAGTCCCCTGCAGGCTGGAAATCTGCCAGCCTGCTGAGGGCTCATTGCAAAACTGCAACTTATTGAAAAAGGTATTTATAGAGAACCTGGTATCTTTATCAGAGGACTACTAATGGGATATGGAGCCTTTCACCTCTAGAACTTTTGCACAAATCCATTTCTGATCATCAGTAGTGACCAAAATGCTGTTGTGTGGCCTATACGAGATATTTGTCACCATAGCTCCCAGTAGACAAACTTCCTTGCTAGTTATGTTCAGTGGTAGCATTAGGAAATTTATTCTGCAATTTCACTTCTGTTGTTTGCATCTATGTTACTAGTTGTGATGTGCAATTGAGAGGGCTTCAGTGTTGTGTTCACATGATCAGTTAACCAACATAAGGATCCTCTAACAATTTAAGGTCTTGGTTGAGTGAGGAAAAACAATTCCTGAAGCCACAGGAATAAAACTGCTAAACCCATCATGTTGTCATTGTGAATGGTGACTGTTGAAATGCATTTTGCCTTGAGCAAATCATCATGCATATGCTTAAGTCCATCCCTATTAAGCAAATCACGTCCTGAAATGTTAAGCAGAAACTTAAGTGCCTTGTTAATGAGAACCTCAAAATAGGTGCTTGTAAAAATGTTGATATAGTGGCATAAAGTTAATTAATTCTCCATTGTGGGCAGTCCAATTTAAACTAATTTCTTCTTCTATTGCTGCCCAATAGTTGTATGTAAATTTTATATTTAAAGAAGGTAACTGGACACTGCATATCCAAGAGATTAAAAGTAGGAAGAAAAAGCAAACCCCTGGATTAGATTATGGATCAAAGTTTATAATTTATTCTCTCTCTTTCCTGGGCTGAATTCAAATCCCCTAAACTCTAGGGAATACTGGAACCCTCAAAGTTTAAGAATGGTGACACTCAGCATTTTGATGCTCTTTGTTAAGATGAAAGTACATATATAGATGTCAGCCTTAACTGGAATTTGGAGGCTTTCTTCAATTTCTGCTAGTGTAAGTTTGAGAAAAATAATCAAGATCAAATTTTCCGGTAAGGAAATATTTGTACAAGCTTCATATCTAATTAAAAGAAATTCACTGGGAAAAAATTGGTCAGCTTTTAAAGTCTTGCTGTGCGCTAGTTGATAGGCCTGTGCAAAGCAGCTAGTATTTACTTTGGATTTGGATTCAGCCAATTCAGGGGACAGCGATTCGATTCAATGATTTGAATCACCGTCCCAATTCAATTTGGCCAAATCTAATTCAGAGATTCGGCTGCTGCCAAATCTCCGAATTTTCAAATCAACCAGGCCCATCCCCCGCCCACCCCAGCTCCTGACTCTTTGGGAAAAAAAAGCCCCGACTCAGCAGATGCTGCCAGGGGGGGTGTAATCCCTGCTGCCCCCCACTGCATGGGGGCTCTGCATGAGCCCCCACTTGCTCCCTCAGCCCCCCCTTTGGGTGCCCCACCCAGGCCAGCTCCGGCCCTTTAAGGAAAAAAAAAAAGAGAGAAAAACCCCGAACTCACCACTCCTGCCGGTGTGAGGTGGTCCCTGCTCCCCCCTGCTGGCCCATGCCATGTGGGGGTCTCTGCACAAGCCCCTGAAGCCCTGAGGCCACTGCAGGAGCTGTGAGTTCAGGGGTTTTTCTTGGGTTTTTTTTTTCTTAAAGAGCCAGAGCTGGCCTGGGCAGGGCAGCTGGGGGATGCATTGGGGTCTGGGGGGATCATGCACAGTCCCCCATGCAGCATGGGTCAGTGGGGGGGCAGCAGAGATTGCCCCCCCTCCTGGCAGCACCCGGTGAGTGGGGCTTTTTTTAAAGGGCCAGGAGCTGGGGTGGGTGTGGCAGCCATGGGCGGGGGATGGGAGGGGTCCCCCCATAGTCCCCTCCACCCTCCCCCAGGCCCCCTTCCCCCATCCCCTACTTACCAGCTCCAAGTCCGGCTGCAGCTCCCTTCTGCAGCCACCAAGGACTGCCCAAATCATCAAAGATTTGGGCAGTCTAGGAAAAGATTTGGAGAGCTTTGAATCGATTCAGACCATTTTATTGGTCCCCTGATTTGATTCGGATTCCAAATCGAATCAGCACCCGAAGCTTTGCACAGCCCTACTGGTTGACTCTTTTGGAAAGCATTTTTTGTTTGAGCTGTATAACTTTTAATGTGAAGTCAAAGACATGGGGGGGTTGTTCTGTGGTGACTATCCACCAAAATAAATAGTAATGGAAGGCAAGAGCATGGGGAGGTACTGAGCTCCACTGGAGCGGAAAGTGCACCCTAATAATCTGACTCCTGCAATAATAGCATTAGAAGAAGTGAAGGAAATATAATTTCCTGGAGAAAGGTATTAGGGAGAAGGCTGCCTAGCTCTGGAAAGGATTTAAACAAGATAACAATAGAGAAGGAGAGGTCAAGGTCAGGGATATTAAGTGCTCACAAAGAGTGGCAAGATCCATTTGCTTCAGACAGAAGCAGCCGGGGTGATGTGTGGTTGTGGATATGAATAAGGAAGGCTAAGCTGTGCAGTGAAAGGCAGAGAATAAAGCATATGCAGCACTGTGAGTGTGATGCCTGATGGGCAGGAAAAAGAGCAGTGCCCTAACCTCTAGGCTATAGCCACCTTCTCTCTTGCTTGCTTTTTTGGCCTTAAATCTCTTTTATGCAAGGCAGCCCAGTTTCGGTGGGAGGGGTGGAAACTGTCCTGATCTCAGACCAACCTGGTGGTAGGGCACTCCTAAGGTAAGTATGGTACAGCTGGGTTTTAATTTCCTCAGTCAGAGGTGGGTTTCAAATCTAGGTCTCCAACCCTCTAGATAAGCATTATAACCAGGACTGTTGATGGTAGGACCCGCAGTGCTATCACTTCCTCTTGTAAGAACTTCCCCAGATTTTGAAAGAAAAGTCACAGATCCCTGCCCTCAGGAAGAGGTTGATGCAATATGTTAGAGGTACAGATTTGTGCAGCTGACTTCTCTATGGATCCTTGGTAATAGAAAGATCTGCTGGAGAATGGGTCAGAACACTTATGAGTCTCCCTGGCTATCACTGTAACCTTCTGGCTACTTCCTTAGTGGACTCATTCTCCTGTTCTCCATAGATGATCGGTGTGTCTTTTTCTCCTACCACAAAGACCATGAACAAGAGAAATACTGAATGATGCATTGGTCAGATAGTCTGACCCTGCCTCATAGACTACTGCAGGTCTTGATTTCTAGTGCCTTTGTACATTCATTCTTGATTCCTATTCTTCTGAGTTAAATAGCATAAAGCCATGATGCCCCAGCATCCTGAGAAAAGTGGCAGTCACTTCTTTCTCTTTCTTTCTTCAAGCCTAAGTACAGACAGTCAAAAAGCCTGAGGCTGAATCGATTCAATCTTCACAGGTTAGTCTAAGCTGCGTATATTGAACCAATAAGCAAGTGAACAGATATTCACTTTTGATATTACAAATGCAGCCACATGCCTGCAGTGGCCCAGGCCAGAAGTCGGGGGATGGTACAGCATGCCTCCCTGCTCAGCTGAGCTTGGGCCAAGGCTAGCCTGCCCACCCTGCAAGGGGAAGGTTTGCGAGGGAGGTGCAAAGCATCCTGGGATGCTGGGGGACTGTGAGTTAACTTGGATCTGGGACAGTTCAATAAAATCGTTTGACCTAAATGAGTTAAGTCTGATAATACATCCATCCAGGTTTATCTTAAACTAATTCTGGCCATTTTGTGCACTGAACTTCATTTCAGTTACAGATTTGAGCTAGGGTCACCATACGTCTGGGTTTTCCCAGACATGTCCTCTTTTTTGGACTCCTGTTCTCGTGTCTGGGTGGGTTTTTTAAGTTAGAGCAAATGTTCAGGTTTTGGCTCTTCCCCTGCGCTCCCAGGCTGGCTTCTTGGGGCTGGGAGCAGCAGGCAAGGTGATTGGCTGTTGGGGGTCACGTGCTCCCTGCACAGGCCCCGGCCAGGTAAAGAGACACTCTGAGCATGCATATGTGTGCATGCATGTGAGCTGCTTGGGCAGCAGGGCTGGGGGGCAGGGCACTGTGGGTCGGGAGTGCAGGGCACCAGCAGGGGGATGCGGGTCAGGAGTGAGGGGCACCAGCAGGGCTATGGGGTAGAGGGCTGCAGGTTGGGAGTGAGGGGCACTGGCAGGGTTGGGGGGCACGGAGCTGTGGGTCGAGAGTGAGGCAGGGGCTTAGAAGTGAGGGGCAGAGGCAGGGCATGGGCATATCACTGCCCCCCCACCCAATCATATGCTCTCCCTCCTCTCCTCCCCCACCCCCGGCAAGTGTCCTCTTTTTTGATACTGGAAATATGGTAGCCCTAATATAACCAGTTTCCAATCACTTATACTAGTTTATGTGTAATTTCTGTCCCTAGTTCAAGAGACCATGTTGCTAACCTTGTGAATGCTGCAGCAAACCTAGACCAGGCACTGTACTAAGCAGTAAGTATCTAAAGCTGTAAGTGTTCTGCTACTGGAGCGTCACCTACGTATAATCCAGGCCCTGACTCAAATTGACAAGGACAGGTTGCCCTGTGAAATAATCTCTTTAAATAGCAGCAGCCAACCCTCAAAGTCACTTTTTTTTGTTTGTGTTGGAGTGCAGCTTACAGCAAGACACCTACTGAGTGTATTTTCCCCCCCTGGGCATTACAGTGGTGGTACTTTTCAGAGGCAAGTGTGTCCATTGCCTGGGGTTTCTCTGCTTTATTTAACAACAAGAATTGCTATGAATTTTGCAGCACAATTTCTCTACTCCAAGGTTTTAAAGAACAGAACTCCCAGGGAATACTCCTCAGAAGATGAAGACTATGATCCTTTCTGGCAAAGGTTGGAGAATCTTGCTGTGTGACCTAGAACTAGAGTGCTCCTTTCTCCCCCCTAGGAGTGATGGACAGTCCTGGGTTTGCACCCAGGGCCAGAGCAATTGGCATCACTTCCCCTGGATCCCTTCTGCCTCCTTATGGTGCTGTAGTTGGAGTTTTGCTTCATCTCTTTGTTTATTTTGTCACTGTGCTTTATAGGTAATGCTTTATTTTTCCTTCTTCTCGTTCCTTAGAAAAACAAATCGATTGCAGTTATTTAATGTTTTCCAAAGTTCTTAGTGGACTAAATTTATCTCTGGGATTACTCCACTGGAAGCAACTGGGTTATATTAGGAGTGAGCTGCAGGCAAAGAAACAGTTTTTCTGTTAAGCCTTTGGAATTAAAATAATTTATGTCTCCATAAGTGTGCTGATGGAGACAGGCTTGAAGTGGTACAAAATGGTACAAACCATTTTATATGACAGTTTATATTATGCATGTGTTTAGAATCTAGGGTTGCAGGTGTGCTACAAAGGTATTTTGACTGGTGATTATGACTGTCCTGCAATTTTTGTGGTACAACAGAGTCTGAAAACCTGACTGAGATCTTGTTCCCAGCGATTATGCAGTGCCTAGCACTGAGAGCTCTGAGTGTACCCTTCTGCAAAGAGCTTGCAGTCCAGGGCTCTGATCATGCATTGACCATGTATGCAATGCCATTGATGTCAATGGCAGCCCTCATGCTCAAACCTAAGCTTGTAATTACAGGATGGATAGAAAGAGAAAAAAGGTGGGATAAAGGAAGGATTATCCACCTGGGGTGTACCAATAAGAAACTGAGGCACAGAAAGAAAAAGTGACTGCCCAAGGTCATGTAAGACAGCTGTAGCAGAGCCTGGATTTGACCCTTGATCTCATGAATACCCAGCCAGTTCCTTAATTATAAGACTGTCTTTCTTTCAAAGCCATTTCATTTTTTTCCCTTCTTACAATTTTAATGGAAAATTGTTTACTATATGAAAAGACTCCCAAATAAGAGCTCTACTGAAATTTAATTTTAGATAGATAGATAGATAAATAGATAGATAGATAGAAATGTTTGGGTCTGATTCTTCATTTTCCTAATAACTGCAGAGGCAGCTATGCTAAAGTGCATGCAGTAAATTTGATCTCACAACTGTGAATATTGTAAAAGAAGAAACTCTCTCTCTAAGGAACTCTTTAAAATTATAATGGCATTATCATAACACTGAATCTCTCTCACACACATGTACATACACAATGTGTGACCATTTATCTTGCTTCCTGATTATTAATTCCCCTAGCATCCCTTTGACATTTTCCAAATACTGCCAGCAGTAAGCAGTGGCATTTTTAGTAAACTGTATTTGAGGAGGCTATGGATTGAGGTCATGATGACTGGTCAGGCTGAAGCCATGTAAAGAGTACGGCAAGACACTCCCTATTATAATGAAGAAGCAATAAAGATAATGCTACATAGTAAGGTGTAGAAAATCATAATACAGCTTTACTAGTAGAAAGTAGACAAAACCTGGTCTCCACTTCCCCGCTTCTTCCCCACTCCCTCCCTTGTGCATTGTCGTATTACACTGGAGAACAATAAAACAAATGTGCCTGCTGCATATGCAGTCTCTGAGGTGGTTTTTTCACTTTGAATAAACTACAGTTCAAACCAGTAACTTTTTACATAAACTGTATAGGCCCAGCTTACCTGGCCACATTACTTAGCATTTGGTTTGTGGGGAGCTAGGCTTGTAGTAAGACCTGGTTATGGCACTGCATTGGGATTTGGAATATCTCTGAGTTCAGTTACAGGCTCAGGAGCAGACTTCCTGTATGAACCTAGATCAGCCAGTTAATCTGTCTGTGCCCTAGTTCCCCATCTGTAAAACTGGGATAATGTCCAAGCTTGTGTCTATGCTGTCTGTCTAGGGGAAAAGTTTCCCTAGTACCCAAGAGACACAGGAGCACAAGTCCCAGTGACCTTCAGTGGGAAGTGGCTGCCTGAACCCCAAATGTGCTTTTGGAAAATCCACTCTGAGATTGTAAACTCATTGGGACAGGAATAAATCTTCTTGAGTGTTTGCAAAGTCAGGCCCAGTCTCATTTGGAGGCCTCTAGGTGCTATTGTAATACAAAATAATAATACTGGTAAAATGCTTTTTTAATCTGTGTCACTAATTCTAGTCTTGGGGTATTTTGTTCTTATACACAAGGGAAACAGTGTTGCCTCTAGTCCAACTCTTATAGGGTATTCAGATTAGAGATGACACCAAATGTTGTCTTGTGATGTGGTAGGGTTGTGTGACCCTTCTCATCATTTGATTTACTTTCCATTGTTCTCATTCTCTTAAAAAAACAAAGGGCTAAACCAGAGTTAAGAGCTTGATGCGGGAATGCAGGGTAAAACGCTATGGCCTATGCTGGGCCAGAGCTCAGCTTGGTCAATGATAGTGATTATTTCTGGCCTTTAAATATATGAGCCTACAATCCTCACTCAGTCCAAAATCACCATTGACTGGAGGATTTGGTCTGCAGGATTTGTCTTAATGAATCAGACTACTGTCCCATCAAGTTTAATAGCCTTTTTGCAGCAGGGTCCTCACCTGATAAATTAGAAGACTGTTAAAAAAGAAAATGTATAGTATGTGTAGGAAAGGTTTGTTCCTCTTTGCTGCTGAGCGGTTTCTGAAAAGACCTAAGATGCTTAACATTCTTGAGGAGAAGCTCAGCCTTTGAGGATCAGGCCTCAGTACAGCAAAGTTTTTCACGGGTTCTAATTTACTGTCTGTAGTAAATTATTTAATCTAAGCCCAATTATCTTGAATGTAGACTACAAGTAGGTCTACAAACCTCATGTGACTGACATAAGTCATCTTGGTTAACATATTGCTGAAAGGTTCTCATACAGTTTGGGGATGAGGGCAGTGTAGGAATGCAGAATTATCTGTCATTACTGTAGAGAAATCCAGTTATAGTATTTGATCTGGGACTGATTGTCCTGGGGCTTGAACCATGTCACTCTTCCAGGCTACATTGCCACTGCTTCATCAATAGGTGGCCAGCAAAAGCGCACAACCTGACAGGCTCGTCCCTGGAATGAATCGCAATAACTATACCGACATACAACAGGATATTGTGAGGGGAAGAGGTAGTACATTTTATCCAACATAGTTCAGAAGGACTTGAAGTGGCAGAGAGAATGTGTATGTCTGTACAATCCTTGAACAAAAGGCTTTATCCCAGTACAAATTCAGTGTCTCTTCACAGCTTTAGAACAGTTTGGGATTGTTAGAAGTTATGTTTTATTATATCCAACACATTTCCATACTACTATTGCTCACTGAGACTGATGTACAGGAATTTGGAGATCCTTCATTTTTGTAGGATACTTAAAGAAATGAAAACAGAGGAGAGACCTGTCCTGTCATCCTCCCTGAACAATCCCAGGATGGTCTCCTCACTGCCTCTTCAAGAGCTAAAACTGAACCAGTAGCTCCAACTCTGGAACCAAAGAGCTAGATTTACATGGGTATTTAAAAGTCATGCATACAAAGGCTGGAGTGTCCTCCCTTATATTGAATAGTCCTGGGGTCAGTTCAGTCCTGGGGTTCAGTTCCTTCTCTGCCTCAATTAGAGCAGGAACTTCAATTCAGATTTCCCCACTCTCCAGAAGAATGCCCTAGCTACTAGGCTAGAGAGCTTTCTAGTGTTCTCTTGGTTCTCTTTGGGCCAGAGATTGAGAATGAGCCTGATTCTGTAGCCTGCTGGCTAGAGCCCTCAGCCGTGCAGTGGCACACCAAGGTACTTGTTCCAGTGAATTAAACTGGAATGCAGATATTGCCCCTCCTAGTCACTGCTCTAACTACCAAGCTATAGAGCCTTTTTTCCCCTCTTCTGATCCCATAAATATTTCACTATTTTGCAAAGTGGAACAGCTTCCACAGGAAAGACTGAGAGAAACCAAACCAAAAATATTCTCTAGCTTAGTGGTTAAGGCTGTTCCCTGGGTTGTGGGAACATCAGGCTTAAATCTCTTCTCTGTTTCAGAGCAGTGAGATTTAAACATGGGTCTCACCATCAGGCAAGTGCCCTGACCACTGGGCTATAAAGCACAAGAATGCCTGCTTCTCTGTTTTCTCTCTGTGAATAGCTCCAATGCCCCCTTACAATTCTAAGCGTAAAAAGTCAAACCATTTTGCTTCAGAAATACCAGAGGGAACTGTTTTGACCCAAACTTGCAAACAGTTTTTGCCTGCCCTGATATTGCATTTTTAGTAACTAAACTGCATATGAGAAATTCTCCCAGGCACTCAGATTCCATTTGCTTGGATGAATAACTGGGATCAAGATGTACAGTCTGAGAAACTCAAAAAAGTGTTCTGACTCCTAGGGTAGGAACAGACTTTGCATTTGTCCTGGAACAAGTTGTGCCAATGTTTGTCCTGAAACAGAAATGCCCTGCGATTGGTATGTACACACAAAACCCTTCTAATCCGGGTTTAATGAATGGTTGAATGTCCTGCTGCTTTTCTGCCATTGATTCAATGATGCAATCCCAGAAAAACTGCTTAGATGCACTTTGTGATGTCCTGGGACACACTGTTAGCTCTTCTTCTCCTGTGAACATTTTAAGGGTTTGTCCCAGGACAACGGACATGGACATCTGAACAATTGCACTTTGTCCCGGGATAATTTTTTCCCCCAGAATAAATGTGGCATGTGCTTGAAGCCCTAGCTACATGACCCTTTCATAAATTCTTGCAGCCCCACACAAGCAAACACCAGTAAGTCTGACCCTTAAAGGAAAATCTTCCCTGGAAGAGAGAAGGAAATCATATAAATGGTGCTTAAGAACAGATGAATTGTCCTATTAAGTGTTTTATGTTACATTGCAAAATAAGAACTGGCAAAAATAAGGCAGGCTGAAGCATGTTCTCTCTGTGCCTCAGCTGTAGTCAGGAAAGCAAGTACTCTTCAAAAACCTCTTGTAGGTCATAGATAATATTTGTACATCATCATCTTTAACCCCACAAAGACATTGATCCTGTGGTCACTGCTTTTATGAGGAATAAATGCCATTGGTAGTCCAGTCTCCTAGAATTGTTTTCCATAGAATTGCAACTGCTTCTTTTGGGGCCAAATTAGATTGCCTTTTTAGGACTAATAATAAATAAATTGGGTACTGAAATTAAAAGTCTTTCAGCTGTCATTGACATCAGAGGACTTAATATATAGCTGAAGTTAGCCTTTTCTAAGATAGGAAGGCTTTTTCCAATGAGTATAATTTGGCTCTGACATGCAGCTGCAGTTCTATTAACCTCATCAGAGTTTCACCTAGTCACACTATGTTTAAGTTCGCTCCATTGAAAAAAAACACGTTATTTTTCCTGTTCATAGTATCTGAACATCTCACTCAGAACTATGAGTGCATCTGTGAGTACTTATTATGGCAAACCTATTTCACAACCTATTTAAAGGTCAGTATAAAGTATTAGTGATACAGGAAGGAAAATTTAAGTTATCTGTGATTGTTGTCATCTTGTAAATATTTATCATCTTTAATTCTTTCAGACTTTTGGGTCTGGTGCTTTAACATTTAGCTGTCTACATTGCTGGGTTTCTGAGGGTTAATACAGACAGCAGAGTGCTCTCCCATCTGGCTGTCCATAATTATGTCATCTTTACCTAGAAATACAGCTTGACTCATTTTGCAGAAAGTGAAAAGGCTATTAAGTGGCCCAAAATCAGCATATAAATCCTGCAAGTTTAATTTAGCAATCCTGCCTATGCAGTGCATCTGAGCAGGACATATCATCTAGTTCAGTTGAATAGTACAGTGGGTGCTTATATCCTCCTTGGGAAAAAAAGGACACATTTAAATTGGTTTAAATAAACATATACATAACTGATTTTACTCATTGTTACTTGCCTTGTTATAAAAGAGGATATTTCAGAGGAAACAAACAAAGAAAGAAAATAACTCGTTCAAAGTTGTTGCTCTTTACCAGATTTCAAAATGCTAATCTTGTGGCATTAAGACCTTAAGTAAATACAATTTTTCTCCAGTTCTTAATTATCTCTGGAATTTCCCATATGGATCTTGTCTCTACTTTTCTTCCAGTTATGCGGGGAAGCTCTTCTCAAAAAAGTAGGTTTATAAACTATGCTTGTATTATTATTATTATTACTACTACTACTACTATTATTAATCACACCAAAAGGTAAAGTGGCATGATCTATGGGTACATATTACAACTTACCAGCTGGATATTTACTTAATGTGGGGGCTGGCTGAATATTTGCATGAAAATAATGTTTTATAGTGTGTGAGTTTCTTTTACACAGGATGGAATATAGTTATTAAATCACGTACAAAATGTTACTGGCATGGCAAATCATGTTTTATTTTTCACTAACCAGACTGTTAATGTTTCCATGTTTTTATACATTCTTTAGTTGTAAGCAACTAAGTGTCTGCTAAGGAATCTCATGCTGAGTGGGTTATACAGACTGCTTTCAAGAAGAGATGCACGTGAGCTGGCACAACTATTAGTCACCTCTCAATGGATTCTTCAACTCAAATCCAACATTTGCCCTGAAAGTTACTGAGCTCTCAGTTGGTATATGGCACATCAAGATGGGTTCTGTAAGGAAAATGTTTCTTGGCAATGAGGCTGCTGACTTTTCAAATGTGAAAGGTCATAGTTTCCATAATAAATGCCAAGATATTAATGTTTCAGATGTACATAACCTCATGTATAATAGCCCAGGAATAGTAAATACTTGACATCTGTTTGGCATTTTATTCTTTTCAATGAGCATAAATGTGTTGCCTGCATTAAGCAGACAAGGTTCCCCAGGTGAATTTGATATCTTTTATTAGACCAACCCAAATAGTTGGAGAATAGTTATTAAGCAAGCTTTCGAGTTCAAAAACCCTTCGTCAGTCTAAGGAGGTTTCAGCAGTTGGTGTGTGCTCTTCCTGGATGGAATGAAAAGTAAAGAAGCCAGGGGCTGGGCTGGGCTGGGCTGGGGAGTCAGTTGCCAGGCAGATTATAATGTATCAAAAATCCAATGTCTATGTTTAGTCCATGATCTCTAGTATCCAGCAGGTTGATGAAATGGAGCTCATAGGCTCGTCTCTGGGAAGTGTTGTGTAAGTTTCCCTCGAGGATCCTGGGCTCTCCAGAGACGAGCCTATGAGCTCCATTTCATCAACCTGCTGGATACTAGAGATCATGGACTAAACATAGACATTGGATTTTTGATACATTATAATCTGCCTGGCAACTGACTCCCCAGCCCAGCCCAGCCCAGCCCAGCCCAGCCCAGCCCCTGGCTTCTTTACTTTTCATTCCATCCAGGAAGAGCACACACCAACTGCTGAAACCTCCTTAGACTGACGAAGGGTTTTTGAACTCGAAAGCTTGCTTAATAACTATTCTCCAACTATTTGGGTTGGTCTAATAAAAGATATCAAATTCACCTGGGGAACCTTGTCTGCCTATGTCCTTAGACCAACACGGCTACAACCTACACCCTTGCCTGCATTAAGGTTTTTAGGGGAAAAAAATCCAAAATGTGGTGGTAAAAATGGGAGTTCAAGAGTAAATAAGGAGTCAGATTCCTTACTAGACTTTTGCCAGTAGAAGGTTTGATCCAAGGTTCCTGTATTCATCAAAATCCTTGACTAGACAAAGCCTAAGAAACTGATTTGCTTACTTTAGCTCTCCCTCCCAGTCACAAGGAGGAATACAGGATTATGGCCCCCCCAACCTCAATCTGCTTTCTTTGGCATTTACTCTCTTCTAATATATGTATATATTGTCCGCATGGAAGGAGTCAAATTTCACAGCTTCAGCTTTCAGAGTCTTTGTTCATTAATGGAGATTTTAATATACATAGATTTTAAAATTTGTGATAGCCATAGTAAAAAATGGGTGGATTCTTCATATCTTGCATTTCTCTTTCTAACAACATAATAAATGTAATAAATAACTACTTCTTGTCTACCTAATAATATACCCTTTCCATCCATCACCCACATAAAAAAAATGACAGACAATGTCAATAATTACTTTTTAAAAAGTGGCAAATATGTGCTAGTATTTAGAGGTTTAAGCATATGAATTCTCATGCTTTCCAAGTAGTTCTAGTCTTCTGGAAGACAAGAAAGGTTTGTTTGGTTTTTTTGCCATAAAAAATTGTTGAATAGACTGGCTAGAGCGGGTGTCAAGGGTCGCGCAGTCTCAAACCAGCTGGAGTGAACGCTGTGTGCGCTGGATCTGGCACAGTATAGTATTAGACTTTTACAAGATCTTACCTTCAGTTGATAGCTCCCTTGCTCACTTGCTAACTGCTGTTGTTCTGCTTAATATCTCTTTTACTCTATAAGCCACTCTTTAAATTCCAAGAGTTACTGGAAGCTTTTATTTTAATTTGTTCTTAGATGAGTTGGAGAACATGAGAATTTATTTCCAGGATTACATACTGTAGTATACAGAGTAACATATAAAAATATCATTTTGGAATTCTAACTTTAAAAAAAAAAAAAAATTAACTGAGAAAGGGGATGAATGTACCCTTGCTAATACATAACAGTTACATGAAAGTTTCTCCAGTGAAATTAGGATTCTCCTAATTTTAGAGCATGTTCATGCAAAGGACTGCAGTGTGTGGACAATCTATCAAATTAGTGAGTTAGCAGAGAGTTTGCTTGTTGTCAGCCAGCCTCTGTGCAGTATCTGTTCATTGTGTATACAATTTACCTGTGATAAATGAAAGTTAAAACAGGGCAGCTAACCACATAATGAAACAAAGGTAAGTTATTGTAGTTCAGTTTCCATTTACTGTGGGGTAATTGCAGACAGACAGTTACCATGTGACAGCTGTTCCATGTTTATTTCCTCCTCACCTGTTAACTTACCTTTAATATGATTATTTATTTGTACCCATATTCTCCTCAGATTCATCATATGTTTGTGAATTACTCATATTACAGTAATGTTGAGAGGTGCCAGTGAGAAAGGGGCCCCATGATGTTAGGCATTGGACAAACTCTCAATAAGAAAGTGCATAGCCAGTTAATTTATGGTTTAAATAGACTAGACCAATAAAGAATGGGAAAGGAAAAGATAAACCAAGGTGATAAGATGCATTCAAATTCACACAGCAGCAAAGCCAGGGAAAGAAGGCATGTTTCTTGGTTCCTAGTTTATTACCCTATCCAGTAGACAACACTATTTCTAACTTTTATAATCTCCCTTTTCCTTTGAGCTTTAAGTGAAAGCTTTATGACAGCATTAGGAATAAGGTCAGTTCCTTTCCTGGATAGTAGGGCTTCATAATAAAAATCTGACTTTCTATGTCAGTAGAAATTTTTAATGGAGGAAATGAATGTGGAATTTGGCTTTCCACACTGGCATGGATTGTTTATTGGACTGGTTAACTGTCAGGTTGATTTACTGATGTGGTAATTAGTGCTTTTAAAATCCTAGGAAGGGATGCATTCCTGTAGCTACATAATGATTAAGTGCATTTCTCATTTGAAAAAATAAGGGATTGTAGATCAATGGCCATAACTTGCGATTTTGTAAGATGTTAATGTTTTTGCTTTGTGTTTTTTGTGGGGAGGGAGGGATGGGGGTTTAACAGCTGACTCAAAAAGGTTAATGTTCCTTATTGTTCCTTACCTCTCTCTCTCTCTCTCTTCTAAATCTGCAAATAGATAGTTTAGTCAGGGCACAGGGGCTTTAGTCCTTTTGCTTCATGTTAGGATTTAATGGTTTCCCCTTACTACAGTCAGCCTATCCCTGTTGCATGCTAACTGATGATGGCCATGATTTGCAAGTATCTGAAGCAGCTGTCTGCAATATACAATGTAATCAGATATATTACTGCTATTATTAGCTTTTAGGAATGCTATGATAAGATTATAGAATCATGCACATCAAAAATAGGGCAAAGTTTTCACAAAAGCTGCATAAATCAATTGAGAACAATGAAAACTGCTGGTTGTAAGCATGTTTTTAATATCTAGCTGCTTAAAATGCATAAATATATTCTCCTAATTAGATGATGTCTTCGCTTCCTCCAGTGCCCACATTTTTGCTCTTACTGTGCCAGCTGACCAACTGCAAGTAGCTTTCTGTCCACATGGAATATAGTAGTTCATTAGCAATTAACATATATTTGAGGCATGCAAGCAAAAGAACAGCTTAGTTTCACGTCCTTCCTAAGCAGATGTCAAGCTTTTGATAACCCAGCCTTCTCTAACAAGATTATTTCATTCTTTCTCAGTGATGACAGTAAAGTGAAGAAACAAGATATCCGAACCCCTCATGACATTCATCATTGTAAGGACAGGCCTATTAGAAATGGCAACATCGGGCAGCGACCATTGTCCATTAACCCTGAGAGACTGAAAGATTTTGGGGAAGAGGACTACTTGAATGGGGATGTGAAGACTTGGGAAATGAAGATTGTGAGCCGGAGTGAGGAATTACTTGGAGATGCCCTTGACCCAGTTTCTCACTCAAAGAGCAAGACCTATAATAAGCTAATTCGATTTGAAGATATAAGTGCAGCAGCTTTCAAAATCCAATGTGGTGTTCAGAAAACCCCCTGCATGGTATGGAATTTACAGTGCTTTACATTCTTCGATTCTTTCTTGTCTTATATGAGTGAGATTTGACCTAGATACTTGCATTGGCACAGAAGATGTATCTGTATACAATGATAATCCTTCCATAGTAGCAGTCATAATCACCTGCCTAATTTTTTCTTCTTTGTTTTTACCAAAGACCCACAGATTGTTACAGCACTGGTAAATGAAGAATACAACTGCATTAAGCATTCAGGCTAGGTACAGACAGTCAAAAAGACCATGGCTGAATTGATTCAGTCTTTGCAGATTAGTCTAAAACGCAGAGATTAAATTGAAACAGAAGTGAACAGACCTTTACCTTTAAGTCAGGAAATACAGCCACATGTCTGCAGTGCCTCAAGCCAAAAGCCGGGGACCACTAGAACATGACTCTTTGGCAAGCAGCCAGCATGGGCTGTGTATTCACTTCCTCTTCCTGCTGCCTCTGAGGTCTCTTGGATTTGAAGTTCAAAATCATAGCAACAGGACTCTGCAGGGTTGCTCATCACTTCCTCTTCCTGTTTCCAGATGCCTCTGGGATTTGTACTCCAGAGTCATAGCCAGCAGTGAGTTTGAGCAGGGGAAAGGGTGTTTAACCCCCCTGGCTCCAAACCCCAGCTGAGGTTTGCCTGGGGGAGCAGCCTCCCCCCCAGATTGGACTGCATCCCCAACCTGACTTGCCCTACACCATCAGCCAACCCTCACTGCTCTAGGTAGGGAGCAGAGGGGTGGGGCCAGCCCTGCTCTCTGGAGCAAGCAGCCCAACACAGCCCAGGGCAGGAAAGCATACTGGGATGCTGGGGGACTGTGATTTAACTTGACCCAGGAAGGGGTCTGGGATAGAAGTTTCTTAAACCTGTTTGACACAAATCAGTTAAGTCTGATAGTGCATTCAACCAGGTTTATCTTAAACCAGTTTCAGCCCTTTTGAAACTGGTTTATGTGCACTGAACTTCTGTTCTATTACTGGTTTAAAGCAGTTTCTGATCATTTAAACAAGTGTATGCGTAACTTCTGTCTCTAGCCTAAATGCACAATTGCATTATGCATTTGGGTAAAACTTTTGTCACCAGAATCTTCTTATTTAGGGAGCAAAAAACTGTAATTTTGATTTGCCTTCTCCCCACTGCCCTGTTGTCAGTCCCCAGGCAGTGGAAACAACATGAAAAAGCACAATATTCACCTTGTTTCTTTTCACCTGCATCCTGTTGCCCTGCTTATAGGTTAAAAAAACAAAGACAAACAAAAAACCCAACAGAAAAGCAGATTTATAAAATGAAGGAGAAAAAACGTTTTATACGACCAATTTCCTTCAGTCTCTTATAATGGCCTGTTTTGTCAGGCCATTATAAGAGGCGGAGGTGGAGCAGTATTGTGATGCCAATAGTTAAGGTTTCCTAACTTTACTGGGTATTCATTGGTTCTATGATAGTACTTCACCAATTCGAGACTGGTTTCCTGTTGCACAAAGTGCAGTACAGCAGACCCATATTAGACCATCCCTTCCGTAAAGAGTTTCCAGTTTAGGTTAATGCCCAGATGAATGAAACAAACGAGTGGAATATGAGGAAGGGTGAGAAAGGAACAAAGGGCCAGATTCTGTTTCACCTCTTAGCTTTGTAAATGGACTTAAGTGCCTAAATATTATTATATTCCACTCTGTTCAAGTCCTGAAAATCTATAACTCTTGTAACACACCATCGTCTTACCCAAGCCTAAATCCATTTATGCAGCTAACAGGTGAAACACAGTCTGGGAACTTGAACAGCAGTTGGCCATTCAGGAGTGAGAGCTTGGGTTGTGTCCCAAAGGTTTCCCTTTCAATCCCCATGTGAAATTCTCACTGGGAGTTGTTGTATTTATCAACATATGGTCACACTACTGGGGTGCCCTTCTTGTCTTTGTCTGGGAGATCTGCATATGTTTTTAGAATCGAAATGTGCCAATTTCCCTTCTTAGCCTAGTAGTTGGTACAGTGATGCATCAGTGGTGGCCTTAGGGTTGTTGGGGCCCTGGGCAAGAGAGTCATTTGGGGCCCCTTAGAGTCCTAATATGGATGACCTATAAGCAAGTCGGACATGTTCGATTTCAATTTCACTTTACCCTATCCATGAAACTGCAATGAAAGTATCTTAATACAATATTGATTATATAAATATTCGGTGTAATTATTTGTCATTTTTATAAAGTGTGGGCCCCAGGCAGTTGCCCAGTTTGCCCTCTCCTAAGTCTGCTACTGGATGTATATATACTATAAATGGGAAAGTTTACCAAATGACATGCTGGTTGTCTTTAGCAAGTGGAAAAGACAAATCAAAGAAGTGACTGAGGCAGTATCACTACAGATGTACAAAACCTGAGAAGGTACAGGCAAAATGTCAATGAGTTATCTTGCATACCATACCTTATCAAGAATTGTATCATTTCACTGGCTCTGAAGTCACTATAATTTATGAACTGCACCAGTTAGATTTTCTGCCAGATTCTCCAGAGTGCAGTTTGGTGTTGCAGCTTTTGTTTATATATTTCGTGAAAAAGATAAATATCTGCACTGAAGGAAGAGAGCTGGAGAAAGCTGCATTTTTCACTGTGATTCTCAACTTAAGTCAATATTTATTAACTGGATGTAACACTGCATGTTTGTGTGTGGTACATAAATTATAAATAATTTCCCTCTTCTCCCTGATTCATGTATATCTGCCCAAAGAGCACTTTTAATATTCCTACTTTACAAAATATCTATCAAATCTTATGCCTTACAAATATAGCTGCCAGTTTTCTGAGAGCATGGTTCCTTTGGAAGAACAAAATTAAGAAAAGCTGATGGAGGGTTGGCCAGGAAAAAGAAGCAAGTGGTACGAGTGACGGAGTAGCAACATTAAGTTATAAAAAAAATGCCATTACATGGGAAACTTGTGGGAAGGGGAGATGTCCTTAAGCAGAAGTGATGCACTGAGCCTTGCTTGCTGAGGAACCACTTACATAAATTTTGAATAGTCATTCATGTCTATGAAAAGCAGAGGTGAAATTCTACTGCCCTAATTGTAGTGTGAAGGTGTGGGACGTCAAGCCCCTTGGGTCTGCCAGCTTGAAGCCAGACTCTGGGAAAGGGGCTGTTGTCTATGCTTTGTGGTGTCATTAAGGCTTCTCTGATCAAAACCATCTGTAGAGCTGAGTGTACAGTTTGTACAGTTTGTCTTTACAGAGATGCTGCCAGTTGTCATAGTATTTCCAGTGAGGTGAACGCTCTTCATCACTGCTGGTCTCAGGTGGATCGGAAGCAACAAATCAGAAGAGAGAGACAGAATTTCTTTACCAATCCCATTGGCCAGCTAACTGTCCATGAAGCATTTCTAATCAAGTATCTTGTTCAAGCTAACTTGAAATAAACTGTTACATATGTATAGAGATGTAGGATTGGAAGGGGCCTTCTTCATTATCAAAACGAATCCTTGGCTGTTGTTGGCAACCAAGTCTTATGGTCCTTTCCAGGGCTTGATCAAGCTCTCTCTGAAAACACATTTAGGTTTCTTGCTCCTTTTATTTTCAGTAGAAGGATGTTCCACAACTTCACTCCTCTGTTGAAATCTTCCTCTAATTCCTGGCCTAAAATTATTTGTGGCCAATTTACACTTGTAAAGATAAGCCTTTATCTTAAGTAACTCATCTTCTTCCCTGGTGTGTATCCCTAATGTATAGAGAGAAAGCAATCATATCATCACTCAGCCTTCATTTTGCTAGGATAATGTCAAGCTGTTTTAGTCTCCGCTTGTAAAACAGGCTTTCTATTCCTCTCATCATACTAGTAATCCTTCTCTGCACCAGTTCCAGTTTGAATTCAACCTGTTAATGTTCCTAATCAAGGGACTACTCATGTAGAAGTCATGTAATACTTGTATGTTTTCCTTGTGAGAAATTGTGGAGACATGATATGATGTCCATGGTACAGTATAATATATATCAGCTCCTCCAATGAACTGCAGCAGTCTCTTATCTAACAGCTCCAGTTTTGGAAACTGATGTTCCTATTGCCTTTGTGGATGCACTTGGGATACTAATGTGCAGTTCAAGTTGTTATTTCTTAATAATTAGGCTCTATACAGTGAAGGGAAATCACAAGTGCTAAATTATAATCCCTACTACCTGACAGAGCCACCAAAATCTGCAGTTAAATGCTTATACAGCACTCTCAATGTATACACAGTGCTTATACATAGATTAAAAACAATGTATTCCTGATTCACCAGCCAGCAGTCAAGGACTCCTGACCTAGGGCAATATTGTGGAGTCCCACTGACGGTCTTTTTTCAGGAGCATACCTGAAGTTGAGACCTGATATGATGAATGGCTATAAAACAGATTGTCAAAGTAGCAGGAGAGGGAGGACAAAGACTGTAGCATTAGATCATGTAGTTGCTTTGGTTGTTGATGTGCATGCCAAGAAAGCTCTTTATTATTTGCATTTCTGTGGCACCTAAAGATTTCAACTGAGATCATGGCTTCATTGTGCTAAATGGATATACAAGGGATAAGAGATGATACTTTCCTCAGATATTTTATAACTAATTAGACAGGGCAAATCTTGGAAAGGGCAGTGCACTGACAGTTCCACAGTCAGACAGTAGGTAAGTGGCAAAGCTCAAGAGAGTACCCTAACTATTGTTGTTAAGAGGTGAAACAGTTGAATGCAGACTTCGTGACAGAGCTATAGTTTAAGAAGTGAATTGAAGAACAAGAAATTGGACTAATACATACCACATTAATTTGAGCCCCCACAATTAGAAATAAGCTTTTAAAGCTGGGTCCTCAATCTACATCGCTCACATAATAAAGAATGACAATGAGAAACATGTAGGTTGCTTCAGTAACACAAGTTGTCTGATCAAAGCTATTTCCTCAACATCACCAGATGTGCAGGCCCCCACTCTAAATCATGGTGCTTTATATAAAATGCCATGAATTGGAGCACCCCACGCCCTGACCGAAAATATGGTCATCTGTTGGGTTGGGGGCAGAGGGGGAGATTGAACCTACCTGTAGGAGCCTGAGGAACCTCCTTTGTCCCCCAGCCCACCCAGCTCCAAAGCTGCCATGAGTTGAAGGGGACGGGGATTAGGGGGGCACAATGTGGGGGGCTCCAATCCCACCTGCCTCCCATCCAGCTCAGGCAGGGAAGCCCCAGCCAGCAGCTCACTCCCCCTCCCCACCCCCTTCCTGCTG